CCTCCGTACCTCTGCACTTTACTTCTGCACCTCCTCTGAGTCTCAGTGTGCTTTTCTCTTTCCTTCTAGTTGTAGAATTTCCACTCAGCCAGCCTTCCTGTGGTTCTGGATGATGTCCGTTTTGTCTTTTAGTTGTAATTTTGAAGAGGTTGTGCGAGGCAGCAATTTCAGGTGTTTACCTATGCCGCCATCTTGGTTTCTCCTCTATTTTAATGAGTTTTGAAGGATGAAGAAGAACTGAGTAAGTAGACATCAAGGGAAAGACACTTCAGATAGAATGAACAGCATGTGCAAAAATTAAAAAAACCTGGACAGCTTAGGAAATATCAAGCACTTCAGAATTGTTGAAGCAACAAATAAAGGGAGAATGGGGGAGATGAAGTTGGAAAGGTAGAAAAGGGCCAGAAGGTGGAGAGACTTGTGTGCCTGCCAACTGTTTTAGGTTTATCTACAGGACCACAGTGGACCTCAAAAGGAAAATGATCACTGAATCCTCACTCAGATAAATGATGCTATCCCTCTTCTTATAGATATAGAAACAGGTTTTGTCATTTGTCCAACATCACATAATTAGTAGGCTATGGGAAGGCAATGAAGTTATTTTTGTGTTTTGTTTTTTAATCAAAGGAATTCCATGATTAGGTCTGTGTTTTAGAAAGAACAATCTGGTGGCAAGGAGAAATGGATTGAATGGAAGAGACTGGAGGCATAGAGAAGGTTGTCAGAACTCGGTTGCAATGGTCTGATAATGAGGCCTGAACTAGGCTGGTGTCATGGAAATGGTGGAAAGGGAACCGAGAAATATGTTGGATTAGTGTTCATTTTCATAGCTATTATCTATTTCCCTTTTGGCATAATATTTTGAAAGATGATTAAATGATGCCTATTATTTGCTTGGAGAGGCTTGGATAAAAAGCTTACGTTCATAATTTGGAAAGTCAGGAACTCTCTCTACAATTCAGGGGTCCCCCTCACAGGGCAAATCAGACACACTGAGGCTGTTAGAGAACACATACCAAAAGAGTTTGCATACATTAGTGTTTTACTGGCCTTCCGATTTGTGACATGGTGCCATTTATAGCTGTTTGCATTATTTCTACTGCTAAGGCAGAACCCCAGCTACATTTTAAGAACAGGCACATTTCTGATATTTTAAAACGTCTACCAAAGGTCACAGAACTTAACCCAACCCAAATAAAATGGAACAGAGGCTGAGGCAGATCCCACACTCTACTCATCCTACCTTCCAGCCTTAACAATTATGACAAAAATTATGACAAAGGAAACTTGCTGACACCTCCAACCCTTTAAAAAATATATATATATGTTTTTATTGATTTTCAGAGAGAAAGGGAGAAAGAAGAATTAATTAGCTGCTTATTGTACGCCCTCTACTTGGGATTGAGCCTGAAACCTAGGCATGTACCATGACCGGGAATGGAACCAGTGACCTCTTGAACCACACCAGCTGGGCCACCTCAATTCCATTTGCCTGGAAAAGCTCTCTCTTCCATTATCCCCCTTTATGATGAAGCTCAGATCCACCTCTCCCAGGCAAAGTCCTATATGCACTCCTTTCTGCTCTTATAATGCCCTCCACATTCTCTATTATAGCTTTTGTCATCTGTTTAATAATTACTTGATTACTTTATCACCTGTTCTAAGAGTTATTTAAGGCTAAATATTTAATTCTGCTCATTTATTTTCTCCAGTGCCAGGCAAGACACCTAACACATACATAAATGCTTGTTAAAGTAGCTTGTAGTCAGCACAGAAACTCATGATCAAAATCTTCAATTAAGAAAATTCAGGACTTCACTCAGGGAAATGGCACTGGAGGTAAGAGCATCTAGGGCAAACGCTTCCTGGATGAGAACTTCAAGCTGAAACACCATGGGCCCGGCTGGGTGAGCATGGCCAACGCCAGCAAAGACACCCACACTCCCAATTCTTTATCATGACAATCAAGCAGCCTGGCTGGACGGCAAGCACGTAGTGTTTGGCAGAGTTCTAGAGGGCATGGAAGTGGGAGGCAGGATGGAAAGCACCGAGACAGATCGTCCGGACAAGCCCCCTGAAGGATGTGATTATTGCAGACTGCGGCAAGGACCCTTCAGTCCGCAGGCCGACGCTCTATCCACCGAGCCAAACCAGTCAGGGCCCAATTCTTTATCACAACAATCAAGCAGCCTGGCTGGACGGCAAGCACGTAGTGTTTGACAGAGTTCTAGAGGGCATGGAAGTGGGAGGCAGGATGGAAAGCACAGAGACAGATCGTCCGGACAAGCCCCCTGAAGGATGTGATTATTGCAGACTGCGGCAAGATCGAGGTGGAAAAGCCCTTTGCCATTGCCAAGGTGGAGGGCCCCAGTGGCGTCTTCCTCTTGAGCGACTGTGTTTGGACCTGTTGCCCTTTCCTGGGGGTGAAGACAGCCCACCACAGGGCTCTGTGCTGCACCAGCCCTAGTGCTGACATCTGGCAGAGTGGACCCCTCCCCTCACATTCCACAGGCCCAGTTTTGTAACAAACTTCTACCAACACAGAGCAATTAAAAAAAAAAGTGTTTTCTTTTTTTAAAAAAAAAAAAAGAAAGAAAATTCAGCCCGGGCAATGTGACTCAGTGGTTAAGCGCTGACCAGCGCTGACCTATGAACCAGGAGGTCACGGTTCTATTCCCAGTAAGGGTACATGCCCGGGTTGTGGCTATATCCCCAGTTCAGGAGGCAGCCAATCAATGATTCTCTCACATCTCTCTTTCCCTTTCCCTTCTTCTTTGTAATCAATAAAAGCATATTTAAAAAGAAAAAAGATAACTCAAATGAAAATTATTTGTTTAAAAATGTAAAAAACAAGTAATCAAAATAATATATTCACATTATTTTTATAAAGTCAAATAATTCTATAAAACT